CTCGAGGTTCACTATCGCTGTGATATCACCTCCCTTATCAGGATCTAGAGGAGTCTAGCCTCTCTCCCTGGCGTCTATCGAAAGTAAGCTAAGAGGCTTACCCCGGCGGACACATAAATCGCCTGTAGCAATACTACTCCAAGGATCACCGACACATATACGGCGCGCATCGTTGTCTCTCTTTTTCTCTCTCTTTCTTTACTCTCTCCCTCTACTTTCTCGGTCTGTGAATGCGTGCGTGCGTGTGTGTCGTCGTACGTTCGCAACTCGCGATACAATGCAACTCTCGATTCGCGCGCTCACTTTTCCACGACGAAAATGTGACCGTGTCGGCGTCCGCGGCTTTTATAACGCAACAATCCACGGGATGTGGGCGTACTGTTACAGAGGGCTAATGCCACGTATTCTTCGTTTATTAATTGAGGCTCTTCGCCGAGTTAAGTCGTCGGCTAATCCCCAGCTAATTTTCGTCTCTTAACGGAAACACGTGCGGAATTACGTATGCATCTGTGTCCGCGACCTTGAACGCATCCTGCATCGTCCCTGAATGCGCGCTCGGTTCACCGATCGACGGGGCCTCGCGATTTCCATCGAGCGCGCCTCGAAATTAAATAGGAAGAGCCAGCGAAAGAGTGAATATACGATCTCCTGCTTGACGTGGCAATGGCACCGCCAGTTTCCACGCAGAAACAGATCACGACTATTTCTTAATAGACTTTTTATTTGACAGAAGAAATATGTCTCGGATTGTGCGGAGAATGCAAAATATTTGGTACGCATTCCTCGCGCGCGTTCTGTACGTTTTTTTTTTTACGACTTGTTCATATACGTAATGTGTGAAATAAGTGCAAATGTACTGCGCACGCACAGCCGTGTCCTTTTACGTAATCTTATCAGTGCCTAAACGAAGTATATCCGCTGATAATGCGGAAGGTATTACACCAAACAATGTCGTAACCAGGAAAGATACAATGTGTGTAATGATCATTAAATTACTGCTCAATTACGAGTCCACCGACAATACCGAATACACCGCGGTACAGGATCATTAGAGATAATCAGGAACGGTAATAACTGATAATTGACTAACTTTATCATCTTAAATCCCGGATAGTGAGCAGGAAAACGGGAAGAAAAAATCTTTTGTGGAATGCGCATATGATTTCATATATTTCCGATCGCATTATCGTTCTAATGATTCGGAATCACGGGCGCTTTAATTCAATAATGGACATAATTGTTTGTTCATAGAGATCTGCAGAGAGAGAGAGAGAGAGAGAGAGAGAGAAAGAAAGAGAGAGAGAAAGGGGAAGAGAGAGAGAGGAGAGGGAAAGAGAGAGAGGGAGAGAATATCATAATCGTGCGCCGGAGATAATTAACACAACGAATTCGAATTTCAATTTAAGGTATCGCACGACAATGGCGCGTGTCGTATCGCGTGTCGACCTGTAACGCGAAGCAATTAAATCGTCCAACGAAACACAATACAATATCGAAATCAATATCGTGTCACGCGTTATTATCAACGTGTCTCTCACACATAGGCATAAGCGGAGCGCGCAGCTGAAGCGCGTGCCAGCCACCCTCGAATTGTGAACGGCATCAAATCGCATCGGCGAACTCTGTCAATTGACTCGTCGTTGGTTTTTCCCGGAAAACGTCACTTTTCGTCCCTAATGATAATTGAAATCGTAATTAGATTACACAACGCTGTAATCCGATCGGCGACGACATGCGTTTCGCGACTGACATGCCGCGATCGCATCCTCGAGAAGCGTACAGGCACGGCGGATTCGAAACAATGCGCGCGCGAAAGCAGTTCCAACTGACCAAGGACTTTTTCCCCTTTCTTCGCAGGCGACGATAATGAAGTCTGCGAACGCTGACTTGAAGTTGGCCGCCACGTGCGGCCGACTTTCCTCTTCTCTGGTGTTTCAATCCGCACAGGCAGCGGCGCGTCGCGAAATCGTGTAATTTGGAATAATATGTAAGGGGGCGGTGTGTATATTCGAGAACAAACGGCCGAGACCTTGCAAGGTCGCTGAATAAGTGATATTTCCTAAGCTGTCTTATAGCTCCGCGAGAAATTGATCGATCGTGAGGACACAATGAGAAATCATTGTTTGGTCTCGGAGTATCACAATGTCGCGGATAAGCTCCGCTGATTATTAATACACTCCGGCCTTGATAAAGCGCCCGGTTCGAAGGTAGCGAGTCCTATATCGAGATCGCTTATACCCTGCCGCTGTTAAGTTTCTGTTGTTGGAGTGGCGCGACAAATTGCGGCGTGTCTCTCCTACGCTTCTCGATAGCTGATCGCCTTAAATCCAGACTGTTCTACAAAAGTCGGATACGAGTTGCGCCCTCGGTGAATGGCGCACGGAAAAAAGAAGTTAGCTGTGAGAATCTGTGCGTGGTCGCTAAAAACTTGTTGTAACAAATATAATAATAACAAATATATAAATAATGTTCTCAAATATACAATCTCTCAATATAACCAGCCAATAAAAAACCGATACAGGATATAAAGAGGTTGTAAATATGTTTTTTTATACACACACATTAGCTTCATTTACTCGATATTGCTCAAATTATCACAAAATATAGGAAGAGATGAAGGAGAAGTGGGGTGTCCAAGTTTTATGGTAATCTATATTTTCCTATATATTTCAGGGTCTTGTATACACACAGAAAAATATCATTCTATTAATCTGCTAAGGAAAGCGACTAGTTTATTTTTTCTTTTTTATATATAAGTATAATAATTAATAATTATCTTTATAAGAATATTTTCTTGATGATAGTGTTTTAATATACTTGTCAAAAATTTTAGAAAAACTCGTTTTCGTATACTCGAAAGAAGAATTTATTATCTTTTTAAGGATATTGTAAAATTTTATCGAAGGAAAAGTCAGTTAAGTTCAACTTTACGCAATTAGATTATAATATATACACTGATAAAAAAGTTTATTTAATTTAAATAAATATATTTATTTAAATATGTTTTAGTTGCAATAAGAGGTTATTTATTAAATTGTAATAAGCAATAATTCACTTTAAAAATATATATAATAAAATTATATAATAAAATATATATAATAAATAATAATAAATAATAATAAATAATAAATTATATTATATAATAAAATATATATAATAAAATATATATAATGAAATTGAAGAAAAATTTTATCCAACGTGAAATAATTTTAAAACAAATAACGAATAAATGTTATTAAGACACCGTTGCTCAAATTGAATAACTTATTCTTAACAACTGAAAAATCTAATATATTTAAATTCAGGAAATAGCTTTAAATAAATATTTTTTCAAACTAATTATTAACTTACTTTACAATGTATTACAACACATATAGACAAAATGTAAGACGTTTATATTAATCGAAGAAATGGTATAGTGCCTAAAGCAACAAACTCATAATCCAGAGGTACCTCACGAGTCCAAGTTCGAGTCCCACTAATGCCAGTGAGAATTTTTAAATGTGATGTTAATATTGGAAGCAACTTAATCGTTCCTAAGTATATTACTCTTACACGAATTTTTAAAGAATTTAAAGAACCGTTCAAGAAAGAAGAATAAAAAAAATTCTCTAAAGTGAACAATTTTTTATTCAAATTTGATAAATAGTTACTTAATTTTAGTCATGCAATATTTAAAAATAATATATAAAATAATTAAATAAGTAAATATTTGTTACAATTCCTTTTATGTATATCAAATCTAATAAATAATTCATTAATTTTTAGCAAAAAATATTTTATCCTGAATAATATTTCTTTTTAATTTAAATAAATACGCAATTGGTACCATTTTAGAAAATCATTTATTCAAAACAAATGATTTTTTTTCAAATTGACTATCAGTGTAACCTAAAAATGTAGCTGCAATATAGTAGACATATACTTAACTATGAAACCGTTGTAATGGAAACAGTAGCAAAATTTTCAGTTAATGAATTTTTAGTCAGCAATGGATTTTCAGTCACAGTAACGAATCTTCAGCAAACCATGATTAGCTGCGGCAGTGAAATTTTTTTGCCGCTGCCTTTTCTTCTTCTTCTTCTCGCTTTGTCGAAGACCGAGGACCACGCGAGGATACGCGAGAGAAATGAGCTCGCCAGGATGTTATTAGCATAAATGCACGCGTCCACACGGGAGCATTGCTACCGAGTTGCGACTGAGCCAAGGTCAAGTTTCGATCGTGGTTCGAGAATGCAGCGTCTTATCGGCCTCTTTCTCTCTTTCTCTCTCTCTCTCTCTCTCTATCTCTCTCGCGCGCGCGCACATGGATATCATTCGGGGTCAAGAGACCTCCCCGGGTTTCTTAGCCCTCGTTCATTCGATCATCGGAGGCGCGAGGCGCCTCATTTCGTGCCGCGGGCTCGATTGCACCGCGTCCAACTTCCCGCTCGTTCGTGTCCAACTTTCTCGCGCGAATCGATCGAATTTCCGGCGGATTTCTGCTCCTGCGCACGTGTAGTCGTCGCGGCGCACCTACCTTACGGCCGTTCATGCCGTCTCGTAACGCCTCGTGCCGAGACCTCGGCGCGGCTCGCCACGGCATCGTGGATCCCTGTCGGCGCAATCAAATTGAATGGCAGCCTCAAGGGCGATAGGGCGTACGAGGCTTCGTACGTACCGGTAGAAACATAAATAGCACACCCACCCCCTCCCCGCGGAACAATGCCGTCGTAACCATCCACGAATCCATCTCGAAGTTACGTGCGCTCGCGTAACGCTCCCGTTCCGCGACACCTGCGTGACGACGGCAAAACGACCGCGTAACTACGCGAGACATACGGAACGGGAAACTGCGATAAAAATCAGGGCGGGAAAGGAATGGAGGAGGGAGGAGAGGAGGCTCGCGCGCGCGATATATAATAACTCGCTGGCTGCGAACAACAAAACGAGGATGACGTTGAAATTCAATAAAGGCAGAGTCGACCGCGTAGCTGCTACTTACTCGCAGCAGCAACTTATACACGACAACCCTCGCAAACGCAAAAAAGAAAACCAGACGTTCTCGCGCGCTCCTCCGCACTAAGGTGCCCCTTAACACCCTTTAGAATAACTGAGGAAAGTTCGCGTGAAAGGATATTCCTCCAACGATGCGAGTAACCATGAAAGCTCCAGGGGCATAGCAGAAAACAAACGCGTACACGTGCTCCGGGGCGAGTGTGTGTGCTCGCACACGGAATATTGATCGCACAGTGCAGGTATTCGCTCGCGCTCGCTCGTTCGTTCGCCGGTTGCATTCTCAGCGTGTCGATTGTTACAGCCGTCGTCGCAGCTGCACCCGGCGCGTCTCGCT